TGCAGCTACTTATAAAAGACTCAAGTCCAAAATGATCTACCTACTACAAAAATGCAAATCATTATTTATTTTCAAAAAAAATTCTTATACCTACAATTATGTTTATGTACATGCAAACCGCATGAGCCAATAAGCACAACACAACACAATTTATCTATGTACATTTTTTGTCATTAACCCGAGTTACTCTTATGACTTGCACTGAATTGATGGCCAGGATGCATATCCGACAATTGTGGTAACTCCCTGCAAGTTTTGTCGTGTTTACTTTCCTGCACTGAGCGCGTTGTTGCGCATGGGCATTCACCTAAGTGTCAGTAAAAACATTACTGAGTAAAACTCAGAGTCATTGACTGTGCCATGTCCAGTCCATGCCTGGATTATTTAAATCCAAATATTTCCCCCTCCTCGTTATAAAATAATTTGCATCCACACATCACGTTATCAATCACATTCCTACATCGTGTCTTACGTCCTTCCTGCCGTTGGGAATAACCAGAAATGGCGAGTTCTCACTGACTGCCAGGCATTTTCAGATTTGAGAAGTGCATTCTGCCAGCAATTTCAGGTGATTTGACCCAACTTTGAAGTGCCACAGAATATTCATTTTTTAGACGATGTAAACACCAAGGGCACCAAATTAAAGATTAACCTCTCTGCTTCACTCTGAAAAAAACAGTTTGTTTCTACATACTTTCACCCATAACACCTGGTCTGAGCAAGAAAACAGAGAAAACGAGCTGTATGTAAACAGGAACATATCAAGCAGAAAAGAGACTTTTAGATGCATTTTTGCTGCTTTAGTGACAACTCAAAACATCTTCACACTTGTTCCATTACAAAAATTATAAAAACATGACTCTGAAATAATACTTTTGATGGAAAATTGTTGGCAATTTATTCACAGATAGAAAATTTAACTTTCTTCTATACCATCAACCAAAACGTCAAACAACAACAACACAAAGATCAATAAAACTATAGATGTATAAAATAGAATGAAGCATGTGAATGTGTGAATGTCAGTGTGCGAGTGAGTGTCTGTGTGAATGAGTGTCTGTGTGTGTGAATGTCAGTGTGCGAGTGAGTGTCTGTGTGCGTGAGTGAGTGAGTGAGTGCGTGTGAGTGTGTCCGATAAATCATGATCAGGTTCTCTGAACGAATCCGAGGCATCAGTAACAGCAGCAGCTGATACGCTGCGAGAGGCGGAGGGTGTGTCCCTGCTCCGGGCTCTTGCTCCGCGCAAATGTGGCTGCAAAGACGGACCTCCACCGGGGTCTCCGCTCTCTCCCCTCTCGACCCCACTCACTGATCCGCGAGTAAATCCCTGAAGCAGTGTCAGCTGCTTATAACTATTCTTTTTCGCCATCACTCTTGCTATACTATCGCTAAACTAGATCGCTGATCCGTCTCAATACTACGCCATCATCGCTCTGCTACAGCAGCACGCTGTCCAAAGACCCCACACTCCTCCTCCTTCTCTCCACTGACTTATGACCTCTCCTGTGGTGCAATACTGCATCCTACTGGTGGTGATTTATCATTACAGGTACATTTGCACTATATATCAGTGTTGTGGGTCATTCACAAGGTGCGCCAGACATTACTGCAGCCTCCCGTGTAATAACACGGAAAACTCGTCATACTCGTCATGGGCAGTGAGCGTCACTATTCAACATGACGAGTTTTGTCGTCATGGGCAGTGAATGAGTTAACCTTGTCCTTTTGCCGATGTGTATCAAGTCGATCCACTGCAGCCAAAAAATAGCAGTAATTTAGAGAGCAATAACATCCAACAGCTTCATAGCCCGTTGCTTACTAGACTATAAATCTACACACAATTCCACGAAGGACAAAACTTTGCATAATGATGAGCGAAAGAGGAAATGTAAGAATAGTTACGTTCACAGTTTTGCATGTGCACGGATTGCTCTTTCCTTTTTCGAGTTGGTGGTGTTAATATTGCATCATGTGGACGATTATCTAGCTTTAGTCAACTTTAATGTGATTCTTTCTGGTTCCACCCGCACTGCCCTGTGACTTTAAAAGAATGGTATTGAGAGTTGGAAGTTTGTTTTGACTCTTTATTTTGACACGTTCCTTTCTTTCCCCAGGGGGAAAAGCCGAAGCGGGTTCAAAAAAACTCATCTCCGTTTCACACTGGGTCAACTCGGGTCAAAAAACACAGGTCTGCAGTAAATACCTGTCTCTGAAAAGGCATCGTCTGAAGATTGGGATCCAACAGAAAGGTAGGGCACATACACATAGCATGGCTTAAATAAGGTAATTCAATCAATCTATCAAGTCATGTAGCATAATTTGCACGGACACAATTCAAAGGGCTTTGTAGTACATTCAACAAAAACACTATTAGTATATTCTATAAAATTGGAAAATAGAATACAACAGTGGAACAAAAATGTATTCAACCTGCATTGAACACTTACAGACTCCAATCTTCTCTCACATAACCAGGAAGACTTTTAATAAAATCTTATATTGTGCCGTGTACTCCTCATGCCTACTGTTCTGTAACTTGTGTTGCAACAGTGAAATTTCCCTGCTGTGGGACGAATGGAGGATCTCTTAATCTTTATCTCTTAATCTTAATACAAATCTGAAATGCTACCTCCCCACGTTTAGTCCTGACTTTGGGCTCCAGCAGGAGTCCCTGTGCTCCTCAGAGTCCGAGTTGGTTTGTATGGCACTAACATGTCACAAATGTACTGTACTTTAGTAATTGTGACTTTGTGGAATCTAATTTACAGTAAGTATATTTCTTTCTTTGTTACTTGCATGCTGGTTATTTCCTGCTGATTTAAAAATAAATGTATTCTCAGTCAACAACCTTCTTCAAAAGGCCTTGCGCAATTATCAGTCATTCGTTCTGCATTGTTTCTGAACAGTCCTTCGCGACTTGATCGTCTTTACACTGAAATGTCAAGGACGCCCGCAATTACGTGAGCGAAAATAGCGTTGCAATAACTTTGTATACAAGCCGTGTACAGTCAGAAGCGATACAGAAAACAATGTGCAGACGGGTTTAGTAATAAGTGCCTAATCTGGGACTCTCACCACCGTAATTAATAGTTTGATTGTAAATGGTCAGGCCTAATTGTCCACAACGAGTCCAGGGCTGGGACGAAACAAGAGCAAACCTTAACACAACAAAAGGTCAGTGAATCAGTAATTTATTTAAGATGCTCCGTGGGATTGAGTCGGCGGCCGCCTCGTACTCAGAAGGGGGGATTTATTTATCTTAACCTGCTTGAAAGCCACATTCCCGCACTCCGGAAAAAAACACATTTTGCATTTGTTCGATTTCCAATGCCCTCGACGGAGCACAACATTTTCTGCCTTTATTTATCCCCCGGGAGCTGGCACGAAGACATCATTTAAAGTGATGACTAAGCACACAATGCTGTAATTTCAGCAAGTGGGGGAAAGGTAAAAGCGAGGACAAATCTGTATAATTTGTATACATCGGACATTTTTACATTGTATTGCAGTATTTGGTAATGTAGTAGAAGAGTAAGATATATATTTTTTTACTTATTTTACCAACATAAAAAGATAAAATAAGATATGCTTTATTTATCTCACAAACAAACTTCTAGGAAAAAAACATGATTCATAGTTTACACCAGCAAATGTACAAGAACAAAGGAAAATGTAACTGGGAAGGCAATCAAAGTTGCCACTTCAGAATCTGCATAAAAAAAGAGATTTTCTTAGTTACAGACCAATATTGTATGCATTTCAAAACAAGGAAGACGGCATGGGTAAAATCAATAGAAAGTAAAAAGGCCAGGTGCTCTTCAAGGACTGCTGTTTTAAACTTATTGCGTACACAAGATGCAGCCAAAAAATAGAAATAGTCGAAAGCACTTTATAAATTTGGCTTTTGTCCATGTCACAAAAAAGAACTGGATCTAACGTACGCTGTGAGTTTCTGCTTTTTTCCCAGTTTTACAGGTAGTATTTGTGAGATTTCATAACACTTTGAAGCAACTTTTGTTAAAGTTAAACTCATCATTCTATCAATGTGCAGAAGCCAGTACTTTTCCCTTGTTTTGTCTATCTGAAGGCCAAGCTACAAGCACACCGTGGCAGCTGCTGATTGGAGGTCTCCATGCCTCAGCTCTGTATAATACACTTGCATTCTGTTGTATCTGTGATCGTGTGCTTTGTTCGTGCTGTGTCTACCATCGACAATAAAACATGTCTTCTGTCTGAATGTAAGACGCGATCCCAGACTATGCCATCTTCTTCATATTTTGAAATAGAAGATTGTCTTCAAGTAAACAGGTTGACTTGTGTAGTTATTTGACGAGTATATATTGTATTTGCTGTTTACAGTTTTTCTCTATTGCTTAAACACATTTCACGATACAGTCCTGCCTTTTCTCAAAACTCTAAACACAAACCACTTTTCTAAAGCTACGTACACACAACCTCACATTCTCTTTTCAAAACCAACCCATCACACCAAAACAGTTGCTCATATTCTCAAAAGCAAACCTTGACACCAAAATACCTCTCATGGTCTGCAAAAATGTGAATAATTAACCACATTACCAAAACAATTGAAAGCACAGTTTTCAGAATGTGAGACTGTTCTTTTTACAGTTTCACAACTGCCAGGATGCATTTGAGCAACACTTTTTTTTTCTCAAATATGTATTGGGTATGTATTTACAATAGATTTGTGCATTTCATGAGAATAGTTACGTAAAGCAGAAAATGCATTCATATCACAACTCGGTGCAAAGATGAGTAACTCCATGGAGGATCCATGACACACAATAGATACAACATACAGAAACAGTTGAAAACACAATCGCGGGACACTTATTGTTTTTTTCTGTACGTGGAACTGGATTCCACATGCTCCGGTGCCGCAGGGGACTGATTTCCATGTGACCAGCGCGGACAGGACAAGTGCGGATCTTTGCGGAACCTGTGGACGCGATAAATCCACAGCTACATTTCTCTTGCATTCATAATGCCTTTTGCTCCGCCCCCTCTTTGATCTGCTCCTCTCTCTCCTTGGCCTGCTCCTCTCTCTCTTTGACCTGCTCCTCTCCCTCCTTGGCCTGCTCCTCTCCCTCTTTGACCTGCTCCTCTTCCTCTTTGACCTGCTCCTCTCCCTCTTGGGCCTGCTCTTCTCCCTCCTCTGACACAAACTCCTCTTCTTCTTCCTTGATCATCCATTTTCGTTTGGAACCTGCACTGACTTATACAGTTGTGGTCACATCATTTGCAACAGGAGTTTTCAGTTCTGAGTGGTTGTGTTTTCTGAATGACTTTGGGAGGCATTTTGCATCACATGAGCTTCACAATGCAAATTGGAGCAGAGATGCATACAAAAAGTGTTTTAGCAAAAGCAAAATGTGTTTAGAATTTTGAAAAAAAGAGGATGAGTTTTGTGAACAGTGTCTACAGGAGAATTGTGTTGATGGTTGTGAAAAGTGGGGGGTAGTTTTATTAAATGTGTTTAGGCAATTGGTCATTTGGTTTATACTGAGTTTTGTGTTGTAGCAATAGAGGAAAACTGTAAAGGAGCAGTATGTACAAATCTGGCCAAAAGTGGCACTTTGGTCTGCATATCTGGCAACCTCTTCCACTCGCCCTGACTCAGGTTGCCAGATATGCAGGCGAATCCAGCTGGGAACATAATACCTGAATAGAAAAGAGTTTTGTCAACAACAAATCTATAACCAACACCAAAATGAATGACAAAATATAAATAAATTATCTTTCCCATACCCCTGGGGTATGGGAAAGATAATTTATTTATATTTTATTATTTCATTATTTTTAACAGGGGGTACTCCTGCCCTGTCTGAGGTGGCAAGGGACGGACAGAGCAGAAATGTTGGGAACCACGGCTTTAAACAGCTGAAAATGTGTGACACTTTGGGTTAAAGTATATCTGTGCTTCTAGAAAGTAAGTAAGTAATCTTTTTATCTAGCATTATTCAAAGAACAAGGTCACACAAAGCACATACAACATATATTTGAAAATATATACATTCCACTTGACAATAGCAAGCAGTCAAGCAAAGGAAACGAGGCAGCCTTTTCTCTCAAACCAGAAATGTCAGTTATCTATAATAAACAAACACGTTTATTCAAATGACCAGCGAGTGCAGATATCATGTCCACAGTTGAAGCGCTTTGGTGTCTTGGCCTTCGCATCTTTGAAATCTCATCTTCTTCACTCAATGTTTGAAAGCATAGAGTGATGCCCATGTGTCAGACAGTTCAAAGCCTTGTGACTGATGACTGACTCCTTTTTTTATGGACAGCCTGACCTCACTCATTTCAATAACGACGCAATGTGCTCTTGAAGCTGCGTTTGCCAAAAGTCAAACACAAAACTGCAACGTTTGTCAAGGCCAGGCAATGGTGTAGGTTTGGTTCCAATCTTGGTGGGGACATTCACTACGACCTGAGTCTACACCCATTGACACGGGGTCCAGAGTTTCTCCCCCAGAATTTGTTGTGTAATCACACACTATATTTGCAATAGTGTGTTGCCTTCTATACTAAACTCAGCTGTAGACTGAATGAGAAGCAGTTAAGGATTTTTTCTAATAGTTAAAACAAAATCAATTGGATCAGAGCTTCTGAGTTTTGTGTTGCGTTCATTCTATACTGACTTAAACCTAATCCAAATCTACATAATAGCCCTCACCTGAAGCTCTAACAGTTCAGGAACTGCTCTCGATACTTGAAATAAATCATGCTCTGATCTTTCAATTTCCTATAATAAATAAAAACAGAGGAGAAAATATTGAATTAGAATCTACAGTGAGTAGCTCACTACATTGTTTGACATATACGATCAATCTCTAAAAACAATTCATAGTCCCATGCATACCTACAAAATTCCAACCTCACCTGATGCACTGAAGGGCCTGTTGCTTCTACCTCAACATTCCCTATATTGTTCTCTCTTGTTGGTTGAGTTTCCTATGTATGTTAACAGAAGATTAATCATCACAATTCATAATTTGCTATTACTTGTGCTTTCTCTTACTTACTTTCCAACTGTTAAAAAAGCTCCTGATATCTTTTATCTTTTTTTGTGGAGGTGGCATTTTTTCTTAATTATATAAGAAGGTATAGACAATCAAAAACAGACATTCATATACATGAACTGCAGAATCATTTATATAACTTGGCCAATGTCAAAAGTTACATAGTATTTCTCAATACAATGAGTTAACAAGAGTTTGGCAATAAGTAACAGTGTGGATTTTTCTATATTTTCTTTTTTTTATTCCACTCTCATCCCAAAAAGGCAAGTAATGACTCACAGGGCTCTCAAGTATGCAAAATAAAAACTTAAATGACCTGTTGTGGTGTGTTTTGCGCACAACCAGCATGCATCGTTAACGCAATGGAAAATTTAGGTATCCGAGCTTTAATTTCGGGAGCGCTGGTTGCGCTTTGGGAAGAGTCAGGGGAGAGACATGTCAGAGACACAGGGGAGAAACGGGGGAGATACGAGGGAGACCCGCACTTGCAACATGGTTCTGTCTGCATATGGTCCGAGCTCGGTACCATGTTAGAGCTGTGCTTTCACTGAGCGCCGCGGCTGTCATTACAAAGCGGCAGCAGCTGCACCAGGACGTGCACATTCGAGTGCATCGCTTGAATGTGCTTAGAGCAAATAACAGCAAGTGCCCGCTGTCACACATTTCACAGAAATTACATTATCAGAAGATAAAGGTTGTAAATCGTGGATCCGTGGAATATTTTCATCCCTAGTTTATCCTGATTCACACAACACGCCCACTTATACATTTTGGATAGTAAGAGCACAATAAGTATTTTTTCAGCCTTTCAACCAACCTGTTTCTTTATTGGAGCCAGTTCTGTCTCTGTGCCGTGTGAGCTCCTCGGAACATTAAACAGTGCGCTGACAGATTAGAAATAACGTAAGTACTTGAATGGTAATAGATCTACAGTACTTTCCTCTGATTACTCACGTGCTACAACGCTCAGGGAACGAAAAAAAACACTTGCTTCACGCTGGATAACTTTTAAAAATTAAACAGTCGCTCAGTGCTTCAGTTTGGCGCTGAAGAAGACAGCCAATCACTGCAGAGAACGGAACGGGTCACGTGCTGCTGCTGCTGCTGTTGCTCTGGAGGCGAGGAGGAGGCGCGGCGTGTGCACAAACGGAAGACATGTGTCCCGGACCGTCCGGGTCACGGGACATCATGTCATTTTGGTGGGGACTTTTTAGTCCTCACTAAATATTGGTGGGGACATGTCCCCATGGTCCCCACGCAAACCTACGCCCTTGAGGCCAGGTATCACTGGGATTCACTCAAACATACTCCTCGATCGCACTTAATAAAACCAGCTGACTGTTTATGCCACCTACAGACTTCAGGAATATGCTTAATATTCTGGTTGAATAAAAGACATATGCTATCAAATGATAATACAATAGGAAAAGTGTTTCATAGGCAATTAATTCCAGAAATCTGCACTGAGAAGTTCAGCAACAGCATGTCACTCAACAACTTTGCAGCATACCACCATATGGTTCACAGTTTGGGAATAAGAAAGAAGTTTGACTGACAGCAAAATAGGCTGGATGCTTACAGCGAGTGCAAGCCAACAAACATGTACAGTCTGTTTAAGAGCATACAATGTTATTCAGCTGCTGGGATTTCATAACCGGGTAATTTCTTGAAGATGATTGTGACTTTTGCTCTATAAATGTGTGCAGCACATGAAGGAAATTATGATCTGTGCTTCACGTTTGTTAAATTCTTTTGAACAAAGGATGGAAAGGATCAAAGCAATTGAGAAAGATTGCTCACTATCACAGCTGTACAACTATTAGTGGGACAGCGGGAAAGTGATACATTATGCACATTGTAAAACTACTGCCAAAGTGGATAAAGGTCTTATACTGAGGTCATTTAAACCGGTGTCTTCTTCTTTTTGTTAGAGTATTACAAAACCAGAAAAAGACTTGTAGGCCTCTGCCACAGTTTCGTAAAATGTGAGCCGTCTGAATCGCTTGGATGCAGGCGGTGATCCGGAGGTATAAAGTAAACCATTGTTTTCTCTTCTCTTCTCTTCTTCACTTTTGGGTGTATTTGTGAGTGTCGTGTTTGTGTGTGTTGCAATTTTGAAAGGGATCAGCAGTGAGACAGTGAAAATAGTGAAGAGTTTGAGGAATTTCAACAGTCTGTCATTTTTGCACCAGGATAAAACTGAGAAGCAAGCCTCAAAGAACAGTCACAACACTGAATACTCACTACAGCGCTGTGGTTGCAATAGTTTGATCAAGAAGATTTTAGAACATGACAAAATTGTGAGATTAGTGAATGGTTTCATCCCTACTATGACATACTATTATATATATGTCAGGTATACCACAGTATCTCTAACCAAGAGTATACACCTCTGCATACAACAAAACACATCCTCATTTAGCCACATCACAAAAAGTAATGAAAAATAAGTAAAAAGCTGCTCGAGTTTGCCAAAATGTCTCTTAATTTGAGCACATTTCCACTGCCTTAAAACAAAATTTGCCAATGGGACAAGCAAATACAGTATATCTTGTATGAAAAAAAAATATAGGAAATGTCTGGAACAGTTCTTGAATTGAGACTAAATGGCATGTCTCATTGGCAAATCTGGTTTTAAGACGGTCAGAATGTCCTCAAATTTACAATACAATACAATTTATTCTTGTATAGCCCTAAATCACAACAGAAGTCATCTCAGAGGACTTAACAAAACCATTGAAATCACCAACACAGATCAGAGAATCAACAGTTAAAACACATGAATGTGGCAGGTTGGTGTAGGCTACCTTTAAGGTGGATTGTGGGCGGCACCGACGTAGCGTTGAAAGCAGTGGGGGAGGGTCCCAGCTCAAAAGTGGCCAAAAATGACGTGCGCTGACATGCTTGCAATACCACTCCGGGCCGATGGGGGTGGACCCAGAAGTAGAATTAGCCAATGCTAACATATAGCATTGGCAGACCTCTCAAAAACGTCTTTACAGGATGGACCAAAAGTTGGCTCTTGGCCCAAAGCTCCGTTCCACATGTGTGTCAATGCTGAGGGGGGTGGATTTTTTTGGTCCACTCTATCAATCAATCAATCAACGTTTATTTGTATAGCGCCTTTCCTACACAAGGCAACGCAAAGCGCTTCATCCAATGGGGAGTAAGCTACCAATGGGGAGTAATCCCACGTGGGCTGGCCACGTGTGATTTTTCAGCCAATCACATCCTATCACATCATGCATAAATCAAACACATTAAGAGCACAAGATATATTAAAAACATTAAAAATAAAATCACAAAAATTAAAAACCTTTAAACATTAAAATCACAGATGGGACTAAAATCATAAATAGTCACAGTGCATTAAAAAGATTAAAGATAAAAACAAAGATGAAAAGATAAAATCATTCAGTTGTATATGCGCAGCTAAACAGAATTGTTTTGAGCCTAGATTTAAAGGATGCCAGAGTAGACGCCTGTCTCACATTCTCAGGAAGACTGTTCCAGACTCTAGCCGCATGAATCTGAAATGCAGTTTGCCCATGTCTAGTACCGACTCTGGGCACTAACAGGAGTCCAGTCCCTGTGCTCCTCAGAGTCCGGGTCGGTTCATATGGCACAAACATGTCGTGGATGTACCTTGGCGCGAGACTGGAGAGACTTGTACACAAGTAAAGCTGCTTTGAAGTCTATTCTCTGAGGAACAGGAAGCCAGTGCAGAGACCTGAGAACTGGACTAATGTGGTCGTACTTCCTAGTTCTGGTCAGGACTCGAGCTGCTGCATGTTGAATGTACTGCAGCTGTTTTACAGCCTGTTTGGAGAGACCTGTGAACAAGCCATTGCAATAGTCTAACCGACTGGAGACAAAAGCGTGTATAAGAGTCTCCAAGTCTGCCTTAGACACTATGTTTTTAATTTTAGCAATGTTTTTTAGGTGGTAATAAGCTGCTGATGTTACAGATTTTATGTGGCTTTTGAAATTTAAGTCTGAGTCCATTATCACTCCTAGATTTCTGACCTGATTTGAGGGTTGTAGAGTGAGAGCCTGGAGGTGACCACGCGAGCCAGGCCAGACCGTAGTCCTGGACCTAAGACAACCAACATTATGGAAGGCTGGCACACAGCGTGCACCAGAAGAGGCTTGTCAAAACTAACCTCGATTCCCCCGCGTCTCTCCCCCTCCTCCTGCTGCCTGCGGGTGCGCGCACCTTCACCGGCAGGTAAGAGGTCCGAAGCTTTACCACTGCAGGGCTAATCCTTAGTTGGTAGTTTACGCTCGTGTTTCTCTTCCTAGGCACGAGGCGCACAGCGTGCGTGGCCCACGTTGGAGCCGCCACCTCCTGTTAAAGGAGGCCGTTGTCTTGTCCCTCTGTGTTGTCCACATTCTCCCGCTGCATAAAACAAGCGCTCCAGTCCCATTCCGCACCCCTGTGCTGTTTCAGCGCATGCTTAGTGCGCGCATAGGTGGGGGTGGACTCGCACCGAACAATTTAACATTAATTGTTTTTTTTGTAGGCAAAGACTGCAAGGAATCAGGGTACGTTTGTCCGCATGTCTGCTCCTGCATGCTTGTTTATTTTTGTCGCTTTGCACATTGTTTTCCTTTGCCTGTTTTCTTTGTGTACTTACCTTATTGTGCATGATTTGCTGTGTCTTATTTTATTTTTGCTTCTGTTGTGATGTTTGCCTATTTTCATAAGTTATATGATTTCTCTTTATTTAAAGGTGCTGTGCTCCACTACTCAAGTAGCACTGTGTACATTGGTTATTGTTAAAGGTGTACTGTATGACGGTTGTTTACCATTTTAAAATAATATAAGGCTTATTTTAACTTTTGTATTTTATAAATAAAAGTTATCCTTGTAATAAAAATTCACCTCCTTTATTGTCCTAACCTAGCGCGGCCTTCCGAAAGCAAAAGAAAAAAAACTTAAACCAAAACCGTCTGGTCCCAGGGCCATTACCCTGGGTGGCGTTGCTGAATTCTCATTGTTCTACCACGGCTCCCGCCACATAAAGAATATAGAACACATGTTGATAAATGTCCATACATGTTGTAGAATGCTGTCCTGGATCATCACCACAGTCCTTCTAGTTGGACACTAACTGCCTAACAGACCCTCCTGCATCAGCAAGGAAAAACTCATAAGAAAACCCAGAGGGAAAAAAGTGAGAAACCTCGAGGAGACCCATAGTTTAAGAAAGGGATCCGCTCCCACGTACGGATAGGCTAATGATCCAGGACCTAAGCTACAGAACGTGGACAGGTCCGGTACAGGACTGAAGCACTCCCAGGCGGGTCGGGCAGGGCAGTTTGCAGGTGTAGATGGAGGAGGCCAGGTCCAGAGGTCCCGTCATCGTACCATGGAACAGACAATGGGACAACGGGTGAATAGCAATGAACAAACTACAGTCAAAATGTAATAATGCTAAACAGATAAAGTAGGAAGGAGGAGAGGATAGTGCTCAAGTTACCATACTTCTCCCAGCAAACTGACTCCCTATGCAGCTTGACTGACTAAACTGAGTTTAGCCTTCCCTGAGTCTTACCTTCCTAGCCATATGATAACTAAAGAGGACTGCTTTAGCCTACCATAGAACGTAGGGTTCTAGGCTAGAATCAATTGGTTTAGATAAAAAACACTTGATTCAAGCATTTATTACCTTATATTTAATAATTTTTTGCAGTGATAAGTGATGCTGCTTGATTTTAGTTCAGTTTGTAAAGGAAAGCGCCATTAAAATCAACCCATTATTGTTAGTTTTTCACCACAAATGTGTGAAAAAAAATCTAATTAGTATATGTAATTTTGTTTATATTTGGTTGTTATTTACCTAAAGTTTCAGAAGTAATTTTGAGCCTCACTTTTGATTTGTATTCTCAACAATTTCAGTTGCAAAGAGGAAGAAAACAGCCTTCAGTCTTCAGGGGCCTCTGACCACATCTTTAGCCTTGAGTTTTGATCAGTTCAAGAAAGCGGCAGGAGATGTGTGCGCTGCATGAAGAGGGACAGAAGGAGTGGGCAGAATGTGGTTTTGCTGAAGTAACTCTCATCCAAATGGGTTAAAAGTCAGTTTATGGATTGGGCACTTCAGCCCTGCTCTGGCTGCTCTCTCTGAAGAGGGCTGGGCGTGGCCTTCGGTTACAGAGGTACAGAGCAGGAAAAAGCAGCCTCCAAAATGTTTATTGCATTTTTGCCATCATCCTGGTTTCCTGATTAAATAATCCAAATCCTCCGATAACTTTTTTTTTTTTTTTTTTTTTGGTCGATTTGATGAATAATACATGTCCAACATTTAACTTTGCCTGTATGTATTTACCACAACAACAAAAAAAACACTGCCTCCACTGTATAGACTGTGTGCGTTTTTTACGTGGATAGATCTCCCAAGTAACAGAGGCAGACTTGTAATTGATGGGATTTTCTCCAAAAGAGGTGACCTGTTATGTTCATTCTGACTGAAATTAATCAAACTAAACTAAATTCAGGCAGCATTACTTGAGGTGCATAGGATCATGTTGTGCAATAGACTTGTACATGTTTGTGTTGAGTTGGGTGATTATTGTGTTGACTAGTTAGCTGGACTAGACACAAAAAATAACTGGTAAAAAAAATAGAAAAATAAAAAAAGGCCAAGATTTCAGCCCATGCAATAATCGGTTCATCTAAGCAACATCTTGTCCATTTGATTTGCTATTTTTTTACGGTAATGCAACAAAATACCAAAACAATCCAGCAAATACAGCAGTAATACATTCCATGAAAATAGAACAGGAGTGAGATGAAGGAAAAGGATTTTAATTATAAATCCTTGCATGCAGGCAGACATCCGGATCACCTCCAAATTCACTTTCAGAATATGTCGTCCAAATCCTCCCATGGCTTCCTTGTTATGCCGCGATCTAACAACCAGACAAACAAAGGCAGCTTTTCACAAAACCTCTCCCGTCGGTGGATGTAGCTATCGTTGGTCACCCGCATCGTTCAACTTACCGTAGACATCCCCCACACACAAACATCTTGCTAGACTGTTTTCATGTGGCTCTAGTCATTCCTCTGCTAAAGGCATTTCTATCTCTTTATGAAAAATAAAAAAAGATTTTGCTCAAGAATGTGAGTAAACTTGCTTCAATGCAAAGGAATCAGCGACGGTGAGGCCACAGATCACGCACACAATAGACAACCGACTCATTGAAATGCACCACCCAGACTTTGAAAACTACAAACTTGTCAAATGTCTTTAGAATCATGATTTCTGTTGACACAATGTGGGCTTTTAGTGAGTTGGCATCAGAAACACTTTGTCATGACTTTAGAGTGTAGCCTTGACTTTTTCTCTTCTTGTGCACAAAGCGGCCGTTGGGAACTATAGACTTCAGTAATGCCACATTCCCATGCAGCCTGCAAGTGGATTAATCCTGCTCCAGAGTAATTGCTCTTGCATAGCATGGGCTGTATGCATGACAGAATTCAAATCACTTTTAGGTTTCAGTGGTGCAGGAGTGTGACTGCTGCTCTGGGCTGGGTGGCTCTTTTATTCCATTTTTTATTAGCATTTAATTTAGTGTAAAACCGCAACAGTCCTATTAATGGATTAAAGGGTGGTACATGTAAAACTGTGAATCTGCTGAGTACTGGAGAACTATATTGGCCAGTAATTCTCCAAGCATTAGCATGGTCGGACTGAAACATCTCTATGCTAGAGATGGGTATCTTTGAGAGCTTGCCGATATGGTACCACCTCCCTACGCACGGTACATACAGGGGACTTTCAATTTGTCACGATTCAATACAATATATGTCTAAGCAATACAATAGATTTCATTAAAAATAATAGACTTTTTATGGATTAATTTTTTACCATTACATATATTGAAATTTAATTGTAATTAACCCTTTAATGGTTTCCTCATTTTGGTGGATCACTTTTTGAGTAACCATATATACCTGAAGCTTAGAACGGAAATCCACCTCAGTTTTACCATCAAACTACATTGTACAGTAACCATTTAAAAACCTATAAATAAAAAAATAGGGCTTGGGAAAAAAACAAATGATTTGTGTTATTCCTACAAAATCAGAAAAAAAGGAAAAAATCATTGCTACAAGGAGCGTACGTTAAAGACAAATGTAATTGTTGTTATTGATATTTTTATCATTTGAAATATTATCATTATTTGTCTAATATAAAATAAATAATAATAAAGTAAAACAATTAGGGAAAAACATCAGATACTATTTGTTTTTTATTTTAATTAAATATTATATTTTTGCACGCTCCTACTCTCTACTGAGAAGGTGTGGAGCATGACTTTTTCTGTTTTAAATGCTGTACTCTATTCTAAAATGTGTTGAGATTGAGAAGCATGATTCAAACAACATTCATTAAAACGTATTATTATCTTTGTCAATTTATCAGCAAAACCCATGGCAGGCCGCTTAAACTAAATGCAATCGTGGGAAGTAATTTGTGGCTTTAGAGGTCAGAGCAATAAGGTTAATACTTTGCCTGTTGTTTGTGTGCTGTGTTTAAATATATCAGGTTGTATAAAGTGTATATTGGGCGTAGATACACACTTTGATAACCGTATACTGTGTAAGCTGAAACACTGTAGAGATAAGTGTGAATTAACTGATAATGGAATCACCAGACGCACTGTAAACGTGTAAATAGAGTCTTAGCGTCTCATTCCCATTTAGATTTGTGTTAAGCAGCAGTATTAATGGAAACTCACAAATCTCAAACATGAGGTTTTATTCTCCAAATATACAGAGTAAAAGCATCATAGTTCCACAGACCACAAAATACAACCATTTCATTTAAGATACAGAGGGCCACTGACTGTAAAAGTGGATTATCCAGCGGAATTTACATGTCGTTTTACTACAGCTATCTCCGTCAGTAGAAATCAATGAAATTAAAATCCACCCTTTGAGAGTCCTGGATTAGCGTTTTTAAAAATCCGTCATTTGGTTTTACAGAAAAAAAGCAAAGTCTCGTCACAAACAGGTCCCTGTCTGACTTCCCGTAACAACATCACATCGAGTGGCCGTCCATTCGCATCATATTCAGTAGAAGAGAAGAGCACGTCGACTTGTGCTCTCTGCCTTGAGGTGTAGCGCTTTTGCAAAGGGTTAATTGCAACACTATATGGTTAATAGCAAAGTATGAAAACAAAAATGAGAAAAATAGATCAGAGGCAGGGGGTGTGTTCTTTTTAAATGGCCACTTTAATGCTCATTGCAGTGACAAAATTCAATACAGCCGGGGGAAAGAGTTGCCACAACAAACATTTACAAATAAGCTCTTTCCCCTCACTCCAAGCCTCTTTCTTTCACTTAAGACATGTCCCTATCCAGTCCGCCACAGGCAAGTCTTTATGTCTGAATTATAGACTTTGTGTGTGCTCCAGTCTGAGAGGGCTGCTGTTTATCTGCAAAGAGCAACAACCTCTTGTAATTGTGTGGGCCCTGTATGTTTATTCATCTGCTCTGCCCTGGCATCTGTGAGCGCCACGGCACAGCCTCAGCGGGACAGCGTCCACAGGTCAGGGTCCTGTCCTCTGTCAGGGCAACGTCCCAGAGTTCAAACTGGACACCCTCATGTTCTCATGCCCAGTACGAGAGGAAGGGCCAGGCACAAATATTGATTTGTTTGATTTTCTGCACAGTGTGAAATGCATTTGAATAGAAAATTGGGCAGCAACGAGGGAAAATCTTTCTTTTGTGTGTCAACTGTTTAAAAGGGCAGTATGCAAGATTTATCATTGGTGTTATTTCTAATCAATTTGTTAAAGTAGATATATTCTTGATTTAATAAACAATGCACCAAATGGCCACATCAGAAGTATATCAAATCTTAAAAGCAGCCAATTTCTTTAGTTTTTGTGGTCTACCTATGCTTCAGTGGCTTTTTTTGGTATTTGAAGTAAATGCAACATCAACAAAAACCATGCATACTGTTCCTTTAACAAAAAAAAATGAATCAATTTCAGATTAACATTACTTTTTTGAACGCATGAGCTCCATTGAGAGCTCGTTTCACAAGAGCCAAAGTAGAATAATGGACTTTCTCTGTAAATCTAACCAGCTAAGCTCTGCACTTTACCAATGCACTGTGAGAATCTGATTTCCCAGAGAGGAACGGGAGAATAAAACGGCACACATAAGCCTCTAATGTAATTTGTGCGAAACAAGCATTGATAGAATATGCTGATAAGCTTTCTGGACGGAAAACAAGGAGAGAACGATTGTCTGTTCACACAATGCTGATGCCACATGGATTTGTTAAGCTCTAATATAGTGAGATCTGACTCAAAGACGCTTGGAACAGAACAAAATATGTACAGAGAGAGATGCAAAAGACATGTATATACAGTCTAGCAGGTGCCAAGATGGATTATCAGCTCCCAAACAGCATGGCGTCCTCAGATCTACTGTACAATGGACCTTAATTCATGTGTGGAATAGGATTTCATCAAAAACACAACAGCAGAAATTAGAAAAATAACAACAAATAAAATAAAGTGCTTAACAACATAGTAGTCAGTCTTGTATTATGGCCTGTCTCAATTAGATTTAATCTTGTGTCTTTTTCATGATAATGTGTGATCACCAAAATGTGAACAGTTTATTCCAAGCCCATTTATGACAAACTTTAAAAAAACATAAACATTTTTTAGCAACACATGTTCACTATTTGCTGTGTAAGAATTCCATTATGAACTACATACCAGAGGTGGGACAAAGTCATTGTTTAGCAAGTCACAAGTCAGTCTCAATTCATTGCCCTCAAGTCCCGAGTCAAGTCACGAGTCAAGACAGGCAAGTCCCGAGTCGAGTCCAAGTCAAAGACCAACAAATCTCAAGTCAGTCCCAAGTCCTACGGTTTGACTTTCGAGTCCTCTCGAGTCTTTTTGACCGCGATTTGTTTCTTGTTGGTCTCCACGTACTTTTTGTAGGCAAACAAAATAATGTTAGGAATCATTTTGCTGGTGCATTCTCGCATTCTCGCAAGTGCAGCATATATGAATATGAGTATTGGGCTAGGACCTGTATCTATATAATCAGTTTAATGTCCATAGTGGTTATTGTTCCAAAGGACTGAAGGGACCAATGGAGGGGAAGGAACCTGGCCTGTATGAACTGGGCCAGCATTAGTAATATCTCATAATTACCAATATATCATTACATAATAAAATGTCTCATATAAATTAATTCAATCAGTCAAAGTACTGATTCTCATATCAATGAACCATAAACAATAGTGCAAATATTAATCTAGCTTAGTGCACATAATCAAAACAACTATCTAATGTATGCAAACTTTAGCAGGAGGAGCACAGCAAAAACATACTCATAATAATAGGCCTCGGCGCCCACACAGAAAAATATAAGAAATAGCCAACAGAGCAGCGCAGGCTAGCGCTAGTTTGACTCACCAGTTCCTCTTTAAAACACGGCACACAGTGTGACAACTGCGTCGATTCAATTGTATGAGGCGCCTGTAGTGAAAGCATATCAATTACGGTTTGTAGAACAAAATATGACGTTAGGTCGCGATAAATACCTGCAGCTCGCTCATTTCCAGCTCCCCTAGACAACACACCCACCGGTGAATGCAGTCCGCTTGTTTAGGGAAGTGTTGCTGCGCGAACTGCCTGGAACTCACGTTCGAACTCTCGCGCGAGCGCTACAACTACCGCGAGGCTTTGTTTCTTCAGAGACGGCATAGATAGAAAGAGAGATGCGGAGAAAGGTAAAAATGGCCCGGGTTACGCAAGTCTTTGCAAGTCAATTGGCGCAAGTCCAAGTGAAAGTCAGAGTCATTGATGTTAAAGTCCAAGTCGAGTTGCAAGTCTTTTTATATTTGGTCAAGTCGAGTCTAAAGTCATCAAAATCATGACTCGAGTCTGACTCGAGTCCAAGTCACATGACTCGAGTCCACACCTCTGCTACATACAGTAAGTACATTAATTAGTGCATAAAAAAAGAAAGTCATTTGCATGTAAAAGAGCAGAACAGCAGATGCAAAATAATAAAATAACCCTTGATTGATTGTTCAGTACAGTTGGTCAATTCAGAGTCACCAGTGATGATGACAAAAGGTGTGAAATAACTGTTTAAACACCATCTTCACCTGTTTATGGACATATAAAAGTACTATGGCGCGCAGAATGGGTTGTAGGGCTTTCTGTCCATTGGAAGAAGGAGTTCTTGTAAACAAAAGAGCTGACTCTGTCTTTGAGCATAAAGTTTGTATCAACACTGTTCAGACGGACCCTCAAGGCAAAGAATTCATCACAAGAAGAGGCGCTGATGTCTCATTTTGAGTCCACCAAAGTGAAGTCAGAGGCAATTAGAGAAAATTATATTATAAAATGATACTCACATATGTACACTGATAGTCACTTATCACAGTCTGTGAAGTGATACAACTGAGCCGTCAGCCTTTTCTGCTCTGCTTTGTGGCCCATTCTGTTTGGACCATATTTTAGGCTCAACAGCTGTGGACACATGAAGAAAGTTTTCCATCACCTGCAGGCGAAAACAATTTCAACCATGGCCAACTTAGCTGCAGCCTGTAAAGGGACATGAGAGGGGCCATTTGAACAAGGTAGGTGCACATTTGTCTTGTGCTTCAAACTCCAGCAGAGCAGCAGGATTTTGGCTCGAGCTCATTATCACGATTTTCATGCTGAGTACTTTCGGAATGACAAACTTCAAAAGGCAAAACAGTCTCTGCCTGGGGAGTTGATTGTCACACAAATCCTTGTGGTACTCTTGCCCTCTGATCCACAGTCCTACTACAGCAAACGCCTTTCTATTTCAAATTCCAAACTTGGCACAGTTATTATGATGTAAAAAAGAGGTGAGTGCGTTAAGCATGGGGGAGTATAAGGCTTCTTGGTCCGTGTTATGCGCCAAATTTAAAGCCATCTATTCCCAGGTCTCCAGGCATCCACTGGACTCTAGTTTACATGCGAGTCCTGGGTCATTTCGTAATCCTCCCACCTTCCTCTCCTGTCCTGGGGTCAGACATGAGTCTGCATTCTCTTCTGCAGAGGCCGCGTCAGGTCTGAGTTCTGGGAAGATGACTGGGAGTAGTGTGAGGAGGAGGAGGCGGACACTTTACTGTCTTTGTCAAACTGCACATATCCGTCTGGTTTACTGTAGCTGCTCACACTGCTGTCGCACTGAGTGTCAATGAAGGAGCTGGAGTCGCTGAGGGAGCCGCGCTGGAACTCTCGCTCGCACAGCTCGATGGAGCTGCTGCCCATGCCCAGCACGAAGCGCTGGCTGTAGTCGTACAGGCGGTTGGAGCCAGCGCCCAGAGTGGAGTAGATGTTGTTGAAGGACATTCCTGTGGGAACCCTCTGCTTCCCCAGAGTGCCAGTGCTGGTGGGGTTTCTCGCCTCGGCCGGCTGACTGCCTGTCATTGTGGGCGTGTGATGCTCTTTAAATGTGTTCACACTGTAGTACCCATTTGTTGGATCCTGAAACACACAGACATACCGTTTTTATGTAAAAGATCTACCATAACATTCAGTCTGTTAGGGATAATGTCACTGATAGCATACAGTTTAATCACACTGCACTGAATAGGAGAGTAGAAAAAGGATTTGCAAAACCTTGTGCTGGGTTTTAAGCAGCCCCAAAACTAACCAAAAAAATTATGTATTTTCTGTTAATTAAGGAGCCTTGATGAATCATAGTTTGGCATTCAAGATGTCACTGCAAAGTTCACTCACAAGCAGGCTCTAATTGGACCTAAATGGATGCGAGTGTCTATAATTCCATGTATTCAGATAGATGACTTCAGCTGTGCCACTTGTTTTGCCGCTGGGGTCCAGGCTGCAGGCGGTTGCTCGGGGTCCGGTGAGGGCAGTGTGTTTGATTGCCTTTTGTGAATACATGTTAATGTCAACCATGGTGCTGGCGAATCCCTAAAGAAGAACTCTAGTAATGGGCAAATGAGAGCGACAACTTGAGAGCGAGCGTGCTTGTTATGCTCGTCATTATCAGACAGCAGACGGCGAGGTTGCTTGCATCTGGCCTTTATTTCCTAGCGGCCCTGCCTCCACCGCAGCTCCACGTTCGCTGTCATTAAATAGGATCAAAAGCAGGGCCCCACAGGAGAGAGCAAGCAGGTAACATTGCAGAAGTATACTCATGTGAGTTTGTGATTGAACAAACACGTAGATGAAGAGCAGATCTGAGCTGCTGGGATGAACTCTGATGCAGGTGTATGTTAATAATCACCTTGTTCTGTAAAGGTATGGCACTGATGCGATCTTTGTCTCCCCTCTTTAAGACTCAAAGCAGAATACGGAGCAAATAGTATGATGTTCAAGCGACTGTGTGTGTGACATTTCTGTTTGACATAATTGGATGGAACATACATAAACTGACCATTTCTATTCAAATCAAATCATGACCATAAAGGGCTGCGTTCTGCTCTGGACATGAGTCTGTAATATATTCTGGCATAGTGCTGATTATGAAGTCAAAGTTTCAGCCTATCCTACATATTTTAACCAACACATTTGACCTCTGAATGTCAAATAAATATCACATTCTGAATATTTTGAGAATTTACAAAAGAGCCGAATACGTGTTACATTTGACATTCAAATCTTATCTTTGTGAATGTTCAAGCCTATGCCAAAATCCAGTATAATGCTGAAAAGGGTTTTGTGGAAAAGTGTGAAAATGGACAATTCAAGGCCAAATTAAAAGTTATTGGTGTGGCCAATAATGATAATAAAACAACTCAAATCACATCAAGTTGGGTAGTTCACTTGATTTCAGTGTAATCACATTGTTTTTTTGGACTTTTTTACTCATGCAGTCCTATATAAATGACGTCATGCACCTTTTTCTATTTGCAGTATACACACTGCACATGTTTCCAGCTTCCGGGCAGATTACATCTAACTTAAATAAAGGCTTAAAGGATCACCAGTCTCGGATTGCTTGGACCACCTTTGATCAGGGACTAATTAATAAAAGCACAGCATTAAATGAAGTCATTTTGCCGGTGGACCTGGAGGATCCTTGTACTAGAAGAGGGATTAGTGTTCCCGTGCTCCTGCAGACTTCATGTGGGAGACCGCCCTCCTGGCCCTGGGCTCTCTGCCTCTCTCTTAACCCACACACTCTGTCTGTCTGCTTTCTCACACGAGTTTTACCTTTATGTGCTGATACTCCTTCTCCTCCTCCTGTAACACCTCCAGCTGCTTCAGAACTGACTCCTGCTGAAACTCTCCCCTTTCAACCTGCAATAAGCAAAACAGACACACATGCAGACGTTGCATTATAACTGCTGTCTGTTAAACCATGAAAGCAATTGGCAAATTTCTGATTTCACTTATATGATAGAGATAAAAAAATAATAAAATCAAAAGTGCATGTATTTCTGTATTTCAACTCATAGACGACGTGACATACAGTATGCCAAGTCTTTGTTTGTTGTAATTATGATGATTGTGGTTCACAGTCAATGAAAAGATAAAAATAATTATGTTTAACTGTTTTTACAAGCTGTGAGCCTATTATCAACATGATAACAAATGTATCTCAGTTTGATTTGAACAAACCTGACTTATATTAGTGTCACATTGTAAGTGGATTTACAGAAGTGAATGGACTTTTGAATTATTTCATCTGTATGAATAATCTAAAGAGAAAAATCCTTGATCGTTGCTTTAGTCATGTCTTTAAGTTGCTGTAGGGATAATATCTTCACACATATTCTGTGGCTGATGTCTACCTCAACTTTAAATTCTGTACTAAATGCAGATGCAAAGACGTGACATTTCATCACTTAAACACTTAAGACACTTCACCTTCTCTCTGAGCTGACAGACGGCATAAATAATACATCGGGAGCATGTTTTATTTATCTTAACCAATTTTTTCAGTTATGAAGCAGTTTAGATCCTATTACAGTGTTACCCAATCTGAAAGAAATCTCAAAAGCTTTTACTGCAAATAGCCTTTCCTTGCAGCAGACCAAATGGAACACTTTATTTAGTTCCAAAAGGAAACAGTTATTTGTGCGTCCTACAGGCACACGCAGACATACACCCACTTTTGGATTACACACTATGCATCAGCATCTCCATAGTTACACTGTGATAGGTCACATTAACAGGAGAGGCAGATAATACGGGTAAATATAGTCTGCTTGACTTCACCAAATGCGCGTTCATTTGGTCTATGCACCAGACACGTGTTCACAGCCACAGCTCGCATACGGCTCTCAGTTCAGTTTGATAAACAGCTCATTGCTGCTATGTTACACAGAAGTCAAAGCTACAGCAGTCACTTTGAGGAATGAATTTAACTACTTCAAAAATGATCATGCAACTGTTTTAGTGTTTTTTTCTTGAATATAAGATAAGCGACACTACAAGAGAGCCTTTATTTGTCCCACAGTGTGGACATTTCATTAAGACTAGGGATCCTATCAATAACCAATATATATGTAAAAGTGATTAAAGAGTTTACGTGATTTCAAATACTGTATGTCCTTATGTTGGCAAGGTTTCCCATAATGCAAATGGCAGTTTCCAATGTAAGGTCTGGACTCCACACACAATGTGATGTCACCAAGTAATTATCAGCCCAGGATCAACATGCACCAGTGGACCTGATTAATTACAATTATAATTAGAATCATAACCTTAATCCTATTCTTTACCCTTAACCTAACCTTAGTCCTAAACATGATCCTAGTGAGTGAATCTGACTTCATCTGAATCTGGGGCTTCAGGCATAGTGGGGTTAAGTGTCTTGCCCAGTGGGGGCGGGTCCCAGCTCAAAAGTGGCCAAAATGACGTGCGCTGACATGCTTGCAATACCACCCCGGGCCGATGGGGGTGGACCCAGAGGAAGAATTAGCCAATGCTAACATATAGTATTGGCAGACCTCTCAAAAACGTCTTTACAGGATGGACCAAAAGTTGGCTCTTGGCCCAAAGCTCCGTTCCACATGTGTGTCAATGCTGAGGGGGGTGGATTTTTTTGGTCCACTCTAGTTTACTCGCGGTGAATTTTTGAAGTCTCTCGTTCAAATGAATGGAGCTGCGCCGGCTGACACATGCCCAGATGCGTTTTTCCACAATTTTCTTGTGGGCGGGACTACTCGCGGCCATCTTGGATTGCTCCATGAAAGCACTTTTCATGGCCAACTCCTGTGAACGGCGGAGATAGGCGTGACTCTGTCCGTTGATATATACAGTCTATGGTCTTGCCCAAGGACACAACGACAGCAGACATCGGTGGGAGTCGTGAAGTAGGTCTTGTGGCGGGCTCGAACCCACAACCTTCAGGCTCAAAGGCCAATGCTCTACCAACTGAGCTACTGTCGCCCCTAGTGGGACTTTCCTGGTTAAATAAAAAACCTGGAAAACCAGCTTTGACATAGATCCTGGACTGTACTTGGTGATATCACATCAGGCTGACTCTATGTCATTGTGCCACACAAAAGCAATCTAGAAATCTTTGCTTGATCAAGTATATATACACAGACAAAACTAACTTTAAAACAGACATATAATAGAAATCGAAATGTAAAAGCATCGACACTCACACTCACCATCAGCTGTTTCATGGACGTGTGCTCTTCGTTCTCTCTCGCTGCATTATGGTCTTTGTGAACAATCTCCACGCGGATGTCATTTTTGGCCGACACCACCCCTTTCAGATCTGTCAAACCAAAATCACAATATTACAACAACAAAAAAGACTATAGCTGAGAATATCATTGCATTTCTCATCCTCTATAAAAACCTTTGCACAAATACAAACAGCAATGTATCAAGACATCAAGACTGTGAGATTTATCTTTCCCATGCAATACCCAGTGTTATAAATCATTTATCATTCCAGGACTATATCTTTGCGCTGTACACTTGCCTACGGTGACAGCTCGTTCTCAGTGGGACAATGCTGATATATTAGAGTCTTACTTTCTGTCTTAATTTTGCTTGCAAGTTCTCTCTGGTGAGCACAGATGGAGACGGGCAGTGAGGGCATAACCAGGTGCGCTTCCTCTGTAGTGCACAGACAACAGACATGCTGAGGGGACCAGAGCACATGTTGGATCTTTGGGGATAGAGAGCAGAGCCTCTCACCCCACTAACTGAAGAGGGGGGGGGTTAGGGTGGTATAAGGATGTCAAGATACGTCAGCGATAAATAGTGGTCAATTGTGTATTATTTGTCTATATTCTTGATGGGTAAAATACATACTATCCTAGATACGGACCTTTTACCCTTGTGTAAAGTATTGAATTGAATTGAATTGAACATACATTTGAAAAAAAAAAAAAAGTATAAGGTGATGTGTTCGGGTATGTATATGGGGTGGACGCTTATTATGTGAAGTTTCTTCTCACTAGTTTTTGGCTTGGACATGAGTGAACAAAGGAATCCCTAAAATTAGTGTTGGTTCATGTCCGTACATTTGTTTGTTATGTGTATAATATGTAAATACTGTAAATGACAAAAAGATTCCAGTTTATAAGCTTAAAATAAATATATATGTGAAATTAAAATTAAATACACTCAATAAGTGATTGTTTAGGTCACAATAGAGTAAAGTAATTCATCTTGTTTGAATTAGAGCTGGAGTACTCCCCAGTCAATAATTTATACAGTAATTGTCCCAACAGAAAGAGTCTTGTAAAACTAAAATATTGTGAACAAATGTGAGTCCTTATTTGGCTCTTTGGGCTGAGAGCTGATTTGCTGAGGGAAGACGATCCTCTCTTTTTCACTTTTCTGTCTGAAAAGTGAAAAATAAAGGTAGCCTATGCATCTGCCTGTTTTGGCCTGAGTTTAACTAAAAGCTGCTGTTTCACATACATGTGGTGTGGCTTTTTTGGAGATTTAAATGCAAACATCTCAGGATAAGCAACAACATTTCAATGGAGAGGAGAATGTTTTGGACCCTGACACAAAAATGAAACGACATCTTTGCACATAATCAAAAACTCAGAAACTAAATATGTCCATGAGCTGCACACAAAACCCCGATATCTAAGAGAAATATTACTGTCTGAAAGCCATCCATCCATTTTCTTCCCCTTAATCCATTTCTGGGTCGGGGGGGGGGGGGGGGGGGGGGGATGCCACCACAGAGCACCAGCCCCTCACTGATCCTCCTACAGGTGGTGAGTCCACAGAAGCTGAGATCTTTCAGTGGGAGAATTCGGGCAAAGTGGGATTAAGTGTCTTGCCCGAGGACACAACGACAGCAGTCATTAGTGGGAGTCGTGTAGTAGGTCTTACAGTGGGCTTGAACCCATGACCTTCAGGCTCAAAGGCCAATGCTCTACCAACTGAACTACTGTCGCCCCTGTCTGAAAGCCATTATTTATTCATCTATTATTATTAGATTATCTATCTATCCGTTTTTTAGGGATACATTAGTAATGAAAAATTAACAATAGAATAGAAGAGCTTTAAAACATCCCTGGGAGTGAACCAATCTGAGAAAAAGTGGTTTTATTATCACCTTTCTGACAATGCAGTTTTTTAATATATACATATTTGATATCTTGACATCCCTATGGTGGTGCTGGATTGAGTAATGCAAGATGCTGTCACACTGAGATTGCATGAAATGAGCCCTGAAACAATTCCTTTTTTTTCCTCAAAAAATGTCTATCTCAACGGATTGTGTGATCATATTTTGTGGATTGTTTTCAAGATTTATGCGGCTCTTTCCAATGTTCTGGGATTTTCCAATGGATTTATTTATAAGAGTACTCTGCCAGTGTGTTCTTATCATTTTAGAAAATATTCTGTTGTTGGCTCAGGAGGCACTATAAAACATGATACTGTTAGTAATCAAATTAAGAAGAGAGGAGAAATTTAAATGGAAAAATTTGAAAGCATATTGCGTTATTGATCAAATGACATACACATTGGAGTTGTGCAAATGGTCATTAACAAAACTAGTACAAACATAGCTGCAAACAGACATTTTTGAGTGTTCGAGGACAATGCTAAGCTATACTGTATATGCTGGTGTGGTGTGTGTGCGCGTACGCTGTGTGTGTTTCGTTACCAAGCCTGCCGTGTTTCTATATGTTAGTTTTATGCTGCGGGTAAAATGCTGTAAGATAAGAACAATAGAGAATGTCCGTGAGAATAGCTTGGCGGGACCGCTAAAATAAAAGCAATGTAAATAATACATAGTTTATGCAAAATAAATTAAGAATGTGATGTCAAAATAGGTGTGGGAAGAATGGATGTTGGAAAGTATTCTCCCCCCCTCAGGTATCAACATCAGGTTTGTCAAGAGGATATCCTTTCAATTTTTATTTATTCCTATTTTTTAGACAAAAATGTAAAAAGTTAATCAAAGAGACTACATTATTTTAATTGGGGTACATGTGGTCTTAAATGATTATTTTTACAATTAAGCTATAACTGCAAAAAAAACGTCTTGCCCTTCATCTTTTACCGTCTTAGAGCAAATCTGTTCATAGATGTGATAAATGCAAATAAATACAAAAAAGACATACCGGGATTCGCACCCGGTTCTACATTGTAAGCACCGTATAGACAGGGGTGCTAATATGTCGATCGCGAATACCGTCGAACGCAAAGGTAGTATTGGAAGATGCATTAAATAAATAAAACCTTACAATTCTAAATTTTTGAAAAAACTCGTTAATGCATTTGTACCATTTGTAGACAGAGATTATCGGAGTTTTGCGTTATGCACGCCACAGTACCCCACCTAAATTCCTCTGATCACTGAAGCATGGATCATACTACTTAAAAATGTTCACTGGTGAGATGCTGGCGCAGGAACATTCTCCACTATCAGGAGAGGCAGCAAAGTGATGCGGGGACTCACGCTTGAAAACACTAAACAGGACAAAAACCAGGACTAAACCAGGACTTAAACCAGGACATGAAACAGGACTAAACCAGGGGTGACTGAGGACGGGGTCAGTGCTTGTATACAAACGTCTTTACTCTGAGTGTCTTCTATGACTGATAAAGTGCCGTTACGGGTTTGCATCAGAACTCCGCCCACTTCTGTGTTTTTCCCAACGAGGACAGGACGTAAGCTCGCATGTTTGGAATCGTGATTGATAACGCAGATGTGTGGATGCAAAATTATTTTATACGGAGGAGGGGAAATATTTGGATTGTAAATAAACAGGGCATGGCCATGGACATGGCACCACAGACAAATGACATCGGTGTTTTACTCAGTATGTTTTTACTGAACTTAGGTGATGCCATGCGCAAACAACCGCGGCTCCAGTGCAGGTAAAGGCTAAACCTCGACAAACTGCCAGCGGATTACCACCATTTTTACCGGACTTATGCATCCTGGCCGATTCAATCAGTGAATTATAAGAGTAAATCGGGTAATGACAAAACATGTACATACGATAATTGTGTAGTGTTGTGCTATATTGGCTCATGCGGGTTTTGCAGGTACATAAACATATATTGTAGGTATAAAGACTATTTTTTGAAAATAAATATATGATTGGCATTTTTGTAGTAGGTAGATCATTTTGACTGATCCTGTTATAAGTAGCTCGCATGCTGAAAGTGAGCCACCCCTGGTTTAGACCAATAGGCCAACCCGATTCACACGATGGACACTGTGACGAACGGATTCAAAGTTAGAAAATTCTGCATACACGTGAACTTTTATCAGCTGTATCAATGGTTCAAAGGCCACCCGATATTAGATCTCGTTTTAGTCTTTGTTTTGCATTATGATTTGAGAGTTCTAACCAGACCTTTTTTAGTTCAGGCCACATGTGTGGTCACTAGGAAACCAGGGCTTTGCAGCTGTCTTCTACCTGCGGCGCAATGGTGTAGGTTTGGATCCATCATGGTAGGGGAACATTCATACGACCGGAGTCTACACCCATTTGACACGGGTCCAGAGTTTTCCCCAGAATTTGATGGTGTAATCACCCTCTATATTGCAATAGTGTGTTGCCTTCTATATCTAACTCAGCTGTTGAAGACTGGAAGCAGTAAGGATTTTTTAATCGTCTAAAACAAATTCAATTGGATTGAGCTTCTGAGTTTTGTGTTGCGTTATCTATACTGACTTAAAACTAATCCAAATCTAATAATAAGCCTCACCTGAGGCTCTAAACAGTTCAGGAACTGATCTCGATCTTGAAATAAATCATGCTCTGATTTTCAATTTCCTATAATAAAATAAAATCAGAGGAGAAATATTCGAATTAGAATTACAGTGAGTAGCTCACTACTTGTTTGACATATCCTATCATTTAAAAACAATTCATAGTCCTTGGCATACCTACAAATTCCAACCTCACCCTGATGACATGAAGGGCCTGTTGCTTCTACTCAAATTCCCTTTATTGTCTCTCTTGTTGGTGGAGTTTCCTATGTATGTTAACGTAAAATTAACATCACAATTTATAATTTGTATTTACTTGTGCTTTTCTCTTACTTCTTTCAACTGTTATATGCTCTGATATCTTTATCTTTTTTTGTGGCCTTGGTGGCATTTTTTTAAATCTTATAAGATGGTATAGACAATCAAAAACCAGACATTCATATACATGAATTGCAGAATCATTTATATAACTTGGCCAATGTCAAAGTTACATAGTATTTCTCAATACACTGGAGTTAACAAGCGTGTGGCAATAAGTAACCGTGTGGATTTTTCTATATTTTCTTTTTTGTATTCCACTCTCAACCCAAAAGGCAAGTAGATGACTCACAGGGCTCTTCAAGTATGCAAAATAAAAACGTAAATGACCTGGTGTGGTGTGTTTTGCGCCACAACCGGCATGCATCGAATAACGCAATGGAAATTTAGGTATCGAGCTTTAATTTCGGAGCGCTGGCCTGGGATTGCGCTTTGAGGGAAGAGTCAGGGGAGAGACATGTCAGAGACCAGGGGAGAAGGGGGAGATACGAGGAGACCCGCACTTGCACATGGTTTGTCTGCATATGGTCCGAGCTCGGTTACCATGTAGAGCTGTGCTTTCATGCGGCGCGGCTGTCATT